CTGTGCTTTATCCAGATAATTCCTGTGCTCTCTTTATTAGGTTTTGACTAACTAGAAAAACTAACTTTAAAAGGGTTAAGATTTACACCCGTATAACTTTGTCACCTTTAGAATCTTTGATGACTATCTCTCTTGGTTAAACAAATGACCCATATTTTATAGTGGTTTGTGATTATATTTGACAAATGTTTTAAGCCTTTGATATTTGACAAACTTCCCAAAACTGAAATTCTAAATCCAGCCTTTTGACTTTAAACTACCTTGTTATACATGAGGGCCACTGAAAGTCTAAAACAGCATTAGATTTATTTAGTATGTCAAAATCATACAAGGAACATTGTCAAATATGAAATGGCGTTTAACTCTCTTTGGGCTGTACTTGTATGTTATTCATGTATGTTCCAGTATTGTAAAACATTGACATGTCTTGGTGTGTGTTATCAGTAATAATGACGGTTATTATGTAAATTGCTGTATGCCACAAAAGTAACCAATTTGGTTTGTCAGTTGTCTCTAACTATGGCTAGTCCAAGTTTTATCATCTTTAGAAAATTATTATTTCACTTTGATTCATCTCAGAAAGTGGTTCTTTCTGGCTCAGTCCAAAGTTGGCTTCTTCAAGTAAAGTCATGGAAAGGACTGACAAATCCACTTGAATACTTGTTTCCGATAACTTTGGAGATTATATGGCTCCAAAGATTATATATCTGTGACCCAGCCACAGCGAGTCCACTTGCTCAAGGCTTCTTGAACATGGCTCCAGATTATGGTCCTCAAATTTGGCTCAGAGTAAATCTCTTTAAAATTATTTTACAGACTTTGACTTTTTTTCCCTTAACAAAATGAAGCTTTGTCTAAAGGTTTGAAATATTTTAAGTTAAGTAAATCTGTTAATCAGAGATAAGTCCTGGGACGTGTCAATGGAAAAAAGACCAAACTCTGTAAAATAATTTTAAAGAGATTTACTCTGAGCCAAATTTGAGGACCACAACCCGGAGCCACACCCAAGAGGTCTTGAGCAGTGGACTCGCTGAGGTTGGATTACGGTTTGGTTTTATACATTTCAGGGAGGCAGGGGTTACAGGTAAAGTCATAAATCAATACATGGGAGGCATACATTGGTTTGGCCCGAAAAGGTGGGCCATCTCGAAGCAGGGGGAGGGGGGCTTACAGGTTATAGGTGGGTTTAAAGATTCTTTGGCTTGTAATTGGTTAAAGACGTGAAGCTTTGTCTAAAGGCTTGAATGTTTCAACATAAGGAGCTGTTTATCAGAGATAAACCATAGGACATAGATTTGTTGTGTAAATTGAGGACCTGCAGGTGTGTCTTGCATACCCTCACGCCTCTTAATGGGTTACAAACGCTGTCCCCAAAAAGGGAGAGGGCATGATAAGGCATGTCTGACCTCCCTCCTCCTGGCAGGCAATTTAGTTTTAGGATATTCCCTTGGTCATGAGGGTGTCCATTTAGTCAGGCAGTGGGAGGTGTGTGGGGGGTTGTGCCTTAAAATATTATTTTAGTTCAGACATATACCCAGACTCAAGTGATCTGTTAAGTAAATTGAGGGCCTGCAGGTGTGGTTCAAGCTGTCCTGCATGGCCTTAGGCCTGCTAATGAGTCACAAAGGGACATCTCCTAGAAGGGAAGGTAGCACGATAAGGCAGGTCTGACCTTCCTTGCCATTGGCCAGCAACTCAGCCTTATCGTATTTCTGGGGTCCCCTTGGCCAAGACGGGGTCTATTCAGGCAGCTGGGGGGGCTCAGGATTTTATCTTCGTTCACAAGGCAAAGCTTCATTTCTTCAACCGGTCACAAATCAAAGGCTCTCTGAACCCGCCTATAACCTGTTGCGCCCCCCGAGGTCCCGCCTTTCCGGCCCGAACCAGCGCCCGCGGGCGCGTGGGGACCGCGGTTTCGCGGAAACTCCGCCTGCTCTGCAGCGTACGACCCGCTGCCGCCGCGCGTCCGCGCACGGCCGCAGGACCTCTAGGCCACGCGCTCCAGCCAGCGGCATTCGGCTCAGAATGAACCTCTCTGAATTACTTTACAGCGTGGGTTTTTTCCGATTAACACTCAAATGTTGACATTTCACCCCACTTGGGAGTCCCGGAGTTCTCGGGTGGGGGTGGTGCTTTGGCTCTCGCAGGGCACGCCGGGAGGGCGGCGCGGGCGGTGACGTCAAGCGCCGCGTCGCACACTGGACGTGCGAGTGCGCGTGCGCAGCCGGACCGCGGCTTCCCAGGGGGCCGTGCGGCGCGTCCACTTCCGGCGGGCGGCGGGCCCGGAAGCGGCGCTCGGGCCGGCGAATCCCTGGGCGCCAGGTCGGTGGGCGGCCGGAGCATGCGGGGCGGCCGGCGGCCCGCGGCGCGCAGCGCGTTCGTTCCCCCGCGGCGGTGGCGGCGGCGCGCGGCGGCTCTCCCGTGATCTGCGGCGGCCGGAGCTGCCGGCTGGGCGCGGGGCGGACGGAGCCGGCGGCGCCATGTGGAGCGGCCGCAGCTCCTTCACCAGCCTGGTGGTGGGCGTGTTCGTGGTATACGTGGTGCACACCTGCTGGGTCATGTACGGCATTGTCTACACCCGCCCGTGCGCCGGCGACGCCAACTGCATCCAGCCGTACCTGGCGCGGCGGCCCAAGCTGCAGGTGAGCGCCGGGCGGTCCTCGCGGCCGGCTGCAGACACAGCGCCCAGGCCCTCGTCACCCCGCGTGGGAGGCGCCCTGGCTCGGTCTAGCCGCTGCCCTGTCGGTCCCCTGCCGGCTTCACGCTTTGGCAGCTCTTCCTTTGCAGTGGACACAGCAGACCCCGCCGTCCTTTCCAGGCCCGGGCTCCGTGGAACTGGGGCGAAGCAAGTCCCCGTCCCGCAGCCGTGCGGCCGCCGGCTCTCTGGCGTGGCTGTTCTGGCGGGGGTGTGTTCTGCCCGGAGCCTTGCCGAGCTAACTTTCTTGACGCCCCTTTCCAGCTGAGTGTGTACACCACCACGCGGTCCAACCTTGGTGCTGAGAACAACATCGACCTAGTCTTGAATGTGGAAGACTTTGACGTGGAGTCCAAATTTGAAAGGTATGGGTGTAGGACACAGTGCCAGCGACAGGGTAAATGTTATTAATATTTGGATTGCTTAAGGGTTAGTGTTCAGCTTTCCTTGGAGAAGCAGTCTTACTGATGTCTTCCAAGTGGTAGAATGTTTTAACTGGAGGTCTGTACGTGGCATGTAAACATTCAGACTTGAAAGTAGATGATGCCTGTGTGATTTCGGAAGTAGTGTGCACTAGTGTCTGGTGGCAGTGGGGTGCACAGCAGCAGGGGCTGGGGGTGGTTCCAGTGGAACCAGTGTCACACTCAGATGCTGCGGTAGAGACCTGAGCTCTTTCACAGCCGTGGACAACTTGTCTTTTCCTGGTGGAAGTAGTTTATGTAAATTACTTGTAAAGGAAAAGGGATAGGGTGGAGGAAACAATTTTGCAGAAAATCATTAGTGACATGTGATGTTAGAACAGATCAGACAGTGTGCAAAAATGTAGGGTAACTTTTTAAAAATTTTAGAAAATTACATCTAACATGTGGGTCTAATAGTTTAAACTCAAGTATAATTTTAAACATTTGCTTCTTGTGATTCTGCCTTTTTCCTCTTCGTGCCTGGGGAGTGTCAGATGAGAGTGATGAAATCGTGAGACTTTGTACTGGAGTAAATGCCCCCTGGTCTGGCAGCCCCTGTGGGACAGCTGGAGGCAGGGCACTGGGGAGGGGAAGCAGGCCATCGGGTACCGGTGTCTGCCTGGCCGCCCAGCCCTGAGACCTCGGGCGAGTTATGACCGCTGAGCCCTGTGAAATGGAGGCAGGAAGTGCTAGCTCGTTCAGCTTTCACTTACAGTAGCCACATTCTTAAAAAATGCTGAGGACACGTCTGTGTTGGGTTACGTTTCACAGGTGTGAACACTGCCTCCTCCGTGTCAGGCCCTGTGCTAGTCAGCGAGGACAGGTAGACTGGAGAAGGAGAGGGGAGTGAGTGCTCTTGGCTTGGCCCCTTGTAGCTGCCGTGGCCATCTCTGTGCCTCTCACCAAGAGAGCCCCCAGGAAGGCGGGCAAAGCCTCACACCACAGCTGAGCGGGGCCATCAGACCGTGTGGTACCTGAGCCACGCTTTTTATATTTGGTGCTGGGGTGTCCATATTCCTTTGTGTCCCACTGTAGCGGGAATTACTTAGAACTCCAGCCATGAGATTGTAAAGGGAGGAAGAGGAAGGACGCATCCTAAGCAGGGGAGGTGTGTGTTTAGTGCAGCATAGAGACGGAGCTGCGCAGTGCGAGTGAGCCGCCGGGCGCCTGGGCTGAGGCCTGGAGACACGCCAGCTCCTGGCGCCTCTACCCGGCGCGACTCTAGGATATTGGCACAGTCAGGGCCAGCGAGAGGCCTGAAAGTTGGTCTTTGGTGGCTAAGAATCTGCCATCTTTCTTTAAAATTATAACCCCAA